AAATGTTTCTTTTATTTCCCATTAATTCTCTGTTATCAGTGATGATTGGTGCCCTAGAATTCTCCAGAGATACCTATTTTTATTTTCTTATTCCTTTTCATATACTCAATATGTTTAAATTCATTGAGTTATTATTTTTTCTATAATAGCATGATTTTAATGGCTACATATTTAGCCATGTACATAAAGCCATCTGTTTTTTAATGCTGTGGTTTTTTTGTCGCACATTTTAATTTCTTTCATTATTTTTTACTATTAATAATCCATTTATTATTGTAGCAGGAGCTGTGCTAAGCACTTTACATGTATTTTGTCATGTAATCTTTACAGTAATCCTGTGATGTAACACTCTTTGGTTATATCAATATTTACCTAGGATTGATTCTCCACAGTTGAATTTTTGGGTCAAGGAGTGAACTTATTTTAAGATCATGGACACACATTGCAAAATTGCTCTGCAAAACTTCTCCTGTTAATGATGTTGCTGCTTTCTGGGTTTCAGCTTACCTTGAGTCCAGGTTGAGGAACAAAAAAATTGACAAACTCATTGCCCATGCCCATGCATACCTGCCTCATGAATTTTTTCCAAGTATGATGTCACTCTGCCATACTCAGTTGATGCAGTGACAAAAAATCTGCCCTGGTTTCAAGGAGAGGAGCGTGTATTGGCTGGGTGAGATTACACAGAGCAATAAGAATAAGCATGGAATGAGCCAGGACATGTTGAGTAGAGAAAGCAGTAAAGGGGACTTGAGAGACAGTGGCCGATCCAGAAAAGAAAGTATGGTATCATAGAGATGATAGCAAAGAATTCTAAGAGGTAAGAGTGAGTTAACGATGAAACTTTTCTGAGAGATTAAGAAACTGAGTAAGATGAAGATAAATATTATTGATACGGTGTTGGCTACCAGTTTCTATTGTATGGTGGGGATAGAAGTCAAACTGATGTCTCAAATTAGGGTGGGCTGAGCCAGGAGTGAGGGGCTAGAGGTAGTAAGTGTAGGTAATTTTGGTCAGTAGTTTTGATGTGAAGGGAAATCAAGAAATGGGACAGTAGTGGGGGGTAAGGAGTGATGTGGGCTAAGGGAGATTTTTGTTTTAAATTAAGTATGTTTGTGTGATCTAGAAATGTCCACTAAAGATGGAAATGTTCCTTATTCAGGAGAGAGAAGGAATAGTGAAAGAAGTGAATTCCAGACCATGCCTTAAGGAATTCGATCTAGAACACTGAGGGGAAGAACTTGCTTTTGTTTGGAGCAGGGCCTTCTTCCTCTACGAGGAAGGCAGAGAAGGGTATCAGTGTAGGTGTTTTTGCATATTCACAGTTTCTCTTGGTTTCTTCCATTTTCTCAGTGAATTATTTGAGAAGATCATTAGCTCATCATTGAAAGGGCTGGGTTGGGGCACTTGGGTGACTTAGTTGGTCACTTGGTTGAACGTCCAACTTCAGCTCAGGTCATGATCTCGCAGTTTGTGGGTTCAGTCCCCACATCAGGCTCTGTGCTGAGAGCTCAGAGCCTGGAGCCTGCTCAGATTCTGTGTCTCCCTCTCTCTCTGCCCTTCCCTAATCATGCTCTGTCTCTCTGTCACTCAAAAATAAGTAAACTTTAAGAAAATTAAAAAAAGAAAAGACTGGGTTAAGGGGGGAGAAAATGTATATGATTGTATTGGAGACTATATGCTTAGATGTGAATGCAGAGCAGTGTTGGGCCTAATTGAGGTTTATAGGCATGATAATAAAGTGAAAGCACACAATGGGTGAATGTCTTTCCTTCACAGTGACCAGTTGCTCTGGTTCAGGCAAAGAAAAGGTGGATGTCTAGAATGGAACAAATTGGGGTTTGGGAATTTTACTGGCTACCATGGGGGAGAGGGGCAGGGGAGCTGCAGTGTTTGAATGATACGATTACAGTGGTGGGACATGGAATTTAAGCAGGTGAGGAAGGGAGTGATGGATTGTGTGACAGTGGCAGGGATGATAGACTCAAGATCCCTGTGGAGGATGGGCCCTCAGAAGGGGTTCTAGAATATGAGTTGAAAGGATAGAAGGCAGTGGCCAAGGATTAGATGTTCCTTCCAGACATTTGTACATATATTGCTTAATTTATGATCAAAACATTAATTGAGCAACTACATGTCAGGTCTTTCTTGAGATACTGGGTAAAAGGTGGTAACCAAACAATGGAGTCTGCTAAAGTGGAGTTTACTTTCCAGGAGGAAGAGACAGATCCCAGACTCACAAAAATTCAAGAGCTGAGATCTCTGAAGAATAAAGAGGGATAATGTGAAAAAGAGTGACTGACAATGCTATTTGAGAAATGGAGGGTCAGGAAGTTATGTCAGTGGAAAAGACAACTGAGCAGAGGCCTGAATAAGATGAAACAGTGAGTCATTCAAGTATGTTGGAAAGAGTGTTCTAGTACAAAAGTCTCTGAGGTAAGCATGAGCTCTGTGTGCTAAAGAGGAGGAGGCGTGTAGGTCAGAGTGCCCTCAGGGAGAACAGGAAAAGGTGACAGGAGGGGAAGGGCCTCTTGAGTCATGGTGACAGTTGGGTTTTTGTCTGAGGTTGATAGGAAGCCATGGAGGGCTGGAGTAAAGTTTGAAATTGGTCTTCTGAATGGGTTGCCTGTGTGGGGGAAGAGAAAGCACTGACTAGAGGCAAGGATTCAAGATCTCAGATGAGTTTTCTCCCTGGGTGTTGGTTTGATCTCCATGTGGATGTCAGAATCACTGACAAGAGTAGAGGTGGAAAACAGAGCAGTTGAGTCAGGAGGTAAAGTATTCAGTGAATGGCGGGGAGGGGATCAGGAATGACAAGAAGTCAGTGGATGGAAGAAAGGAGAAGGATGACAGCTGGTCTAGCCAGTGACCGGTCTAGCCATGCTGATGGTTTTGGAGAATAAATCACTTGAAATTACTAATGGGGATCAAGGAAGTCACTCACTCGCTTCCTACCCCTAATATATGTGCGATTTGATACAAAATATGTCCGTGTGAGAGGGCTGCTGGAGAAGGACTCACGTGGCAGCCAGGTTACTTTCCATGCAATCAGGTGAGGTTCCCTTCAGAGAGGCTGAGGCAGGGATTCTCAAGCTGGGGTGATTTTGCTAGCTGGGGGACATGTGGCAATGTCTGAAGACACTTGGCGTCTTACAATGGGAGGTGCAATGGTTATGCTGCATCTATTGAGTAATAGTGAGGGATGCTGCCTACATCCTACAATGCACAGGACAGCACAGGACAGAGAATTATCCATCCCAAGGTGTCCGTGGAGTTGTGGTTGAGAAGCCCTGGATGAAGGCTTGAGGGTTGTGTTTGTTCATCATGGAGCTGAAGTTCCAGGGAGGAACTTCCACATTATTCCATACCCTTTTTGATAATTTTTGGCTTGATACACATACACATTTACTCACTCCCACTTAAATACTCTCATATATGGAAGGTCCTATCTCCCTTACTTTCTGTCATACAAAGTTTCTGAGTTACAGGAAAGAACCACTTCATTTTCTGGCTGTTTTCAGTCATAAGATATGTAAAATGGGAATAGGAAAGAGACATCAAAATTGTATGATTAGCCTCCTGACATACATTTATACATTTGAAATTTAGTTGTTCTAACAAGTACAGACCTGTGCCTGGTTTTGCATAGCCCTAAGCTAAGAATGCTTTTTACATTTTAAAGCTGTTCAAAATGAAAATGAAGAAGAATATGCAGCAGAGACCTTATGTGGCCCTCAAAGCCTAAAATATTTATTGTTTGATCCTTTATAGAAAGAGTTTGCTGATCTCTGGTATAGAGGTATTTCCTTCCCAGTTCTGACTATGATAGGAACAAGTGTTTGTCACAGAATCATAGCATTGCATTTATTCGGAAACCCTAAAAATATTTATTAATGCTTCTTATGTGTGAGAGGCCATATTTGCAGGATATATGCTGGCTGTCAGGGAGTTTATTTTAGTGAGAGGTGTAGATGTTAAATAAGTACACACATGATTAAAATAATTAATTACACAAAGAACTAAGAAAGGCGCCAAAAGAGTATGGAAGGGGGTCACTGAAGGCTTTTTTGAATAAGCAATTTTAATCTAAATTTGCAGAATGAATCCGCTAATTACAGGGAGGGGCAGGAGCAGGGCAAGAACTGAGGGAGCAGTTGTAGCCCTGGGAGGGATGCTGGAAATCTTCTGTGTCTATCATAGTTGACTAATGCAGGAATCAGCTGAATGCATTTCTAAAGGGTAATAAAGTAGAGAGTGAGTGGTATTAGAAAGGATTAGGCACCTCCAGCCACTGTGTTCTCCCAGATGAGGCTGAGGTATAGCTGGGATTGAGAACCGTGGCACCAGGAGGAACCCAGCCCTCTTGGTCCTCGGCCAGTGTCCTGTTCTTGTGTCTGTCTTCTCTGGTCTCTTGTAGGAAAATAAGAGCTGAAGTTTGCACCTGCCATAGAGCTATGGTTCTGAGGATCATATGAAAAAAATTTGTCTGACATATTTGCTGGCTCTTTTCTTGGGGGTTGGGGCCTTTCCCTGCCTCCTGTGTCCTCATTCTCTGCCCTTCTCTATTGCCATGCCAGAGACCATGAATGTCAGTCACTGACATTTCTTAGTCCACTTGGTGGTTGCTAACTGCTCCCTCAGGGAGCCATTAGCAGGGTAAATGAAGAGAGGAAGGAGGGTTACCAATGATAATCCCAAAGGCTGGGCACTTCTTTAGGTGGAAATATACTTCTTCAGGTGGGCCATCATGTGGCGTATCCTCTTTTGGGGCAGGAGATATTTTGGGGGGTGGGAGAGCAAACCAGAGCCACCTTCTCCCATGTGGTATCCCAGTCCTCAGACTATGGAGTTTTCTGTGTGTTTGAGAAGCTGCTGTCTGTGCACTTCAGTGGCCTTGGCAACAGTGATGCTCACTGGTTGTGTTTTTCCAGGCTTCACTCCTCTGGGAGGGTTCCGAGCCAGGTGACATGCCAGTGCTCCTGACTGTATTTCATCTGCAGGGCGAACTCTGCTGGAGAAGCTGTTCAGTCAACAAGAGAACGGGCCTCCAGAAGAAGCAGAGAAGTTTTGCTCCCGGATCATTGCCATGGGTCTTCTACTTCCTTTCAGTGACTGCTTCAGGGAACCATGTGATCAGAACGCCCAATCAAGTTCAGCTCCATTTGATGTAAGTAAGAACATTTACTTCTGTCTGCGAGGCAGATTGGAGTTAAAATAGCAGCTGTGATGTGCGTCTGCCCAGTCACCCCACACTTTAAATACCAACATGTGATGCAAGTCATCCTTCCCTCAGCCACTCAGCAGCTCAGCATGTCTATTTAATTTCTACACTTTCCTTCCTCACTTAAGTAATCCTAAGTATATTTGTCAAACCTCCTTTTCTTAACAGATGGTCACTCTTGACAGTTTTCTAACCTGCTTTAATCGGTGATGATTTTCAAGTGGCTCTGAGTCAGGACTGCCCACTTGGCTGTCATGGACATTACTTCACAAGCAGTACCAAAGGGCCAGAGCTTTGTTCCCAGGGGGCTGCAGGTTTCCATGGGTGCCTAGAACGCTATTTCAGTGTGTTCACAGCTCATCTATTTACTAACCCTTGATATGAAGCAGCATTGTCTGCTTTCTCCCCAGCTCCCATTCACCAAGAGCATTCATACTGTGAAACAGTAATCGAAAAGGCATATTCATAATTCCTAATGAATATCAATCAGCACAGCTGGATTATCATTTTCAAGCCAGGTGTTGCTAATGTTTCTCAGGTATGTGGTACATGTGTGACATTGGTAGTTGTATTGAGTTGCGTCTAAAACCCAGATATATGAGAATGCTCCTGTATGATTTTCTCATAAGAAAATTGAAGGTCTGGTTGGCTCACTTGTGCAGAGCCCAGTATTTGTGAGGCAGAGTAATGGGTTCTCGTCCATATGGGTTCGTTACAGTTGTTTCCTTACTTCCAACTACACCCTTCTTCTGTGCCTTTAGTATACATGCTATTGACCAGTGAATGAAATAATGGTGACTTTTGAAAGGCAATGAAAATGAGCCCTGATCAAGATGTGACAGTAAATAATAAAATGTCTATATGTCTTGCATTTCTTCTTTCTCTTCTTCATACATTATAAACTATGTTCTTCCTTGATCTCCCTTCAGTATTAGGGAAATAAATCACGTAAAGTATCGTGAGATCTTCTTGACACTTTCCATGTGAAAGAAGGCTTCTCAGGATGTGCTGTGACTTGTGAATCTTGCTTCTTAAGATCTTTTTATTTAATTATTTTTGAAAATGGCACTAGCTAATTATTTCTAGGTAGATCTTTTTATTCTATGGGAAGAATTGGATAATTTAAAATTTTCCTTCCTTCTTTTTTCTTTTTTTTTTTTTTGATGAGAGAATTGTGTTATGATAGAAACTGAACACCTGGGGACTGTGTAGCTAAAAGTGTGCAGAGAGCTGTGTTCTAGAAAATACATAAATTTGCACGTTGGGATTAAAATAAATGTGGCACAAAGGCAAACCCTGGCCATGTCTAAAGCTTGCCTTTTGATTGGAACTACCCCCAAAATGACTGCATTATCCTCTTAAAGTTTAGAGGTAAACAGTCTTCTCATTCAATAAATGTGGAATTGGAATAAACTGAAAAGAATAGGATTATTCTATACCTCCTTTTTTTCTTTCTTAATCACTGAACTGACTGCTGCTTTTTTGTAATGTTTATTTATTTTGAGACAGAGGGAGTGTGCAAGCTCCGTGGAGCCCAATGTGGGGCTTGACTCAGGGCTTGATTGCACAAACTGTGAGATAATGACCTGAGCTGAAATCAAGAGTCGGTCCCTTAACTGACTGAAACACCCAGGTGCCCCTGAACTGGCTGCTTCTCATCTTCCACCTCCCTCCATTCCTGTGTTAGAGTAGTAACCCCTCTCATGATTGTCTGTTTGGAGGACAGCTGGGTATGGCAAAGAGAGGGAAAAGCAAACAAATAAAATCCCTTAATATGGTAGAAAGTAATTTCCTCAGAATAAGAATTTCTTTCCCTCAACTTTCTGTGATTGTATTTTCTCCTTTATTTGTTGGCTCTGTAGAACATCTCTACTCCCCCTGCCAAACTAAACACAAAACAAATAAGAATTTAAAGTCACTTTAGTGAGAAATGTTATTCCATGTACTTAAACAGAAGTTCAGTCACACAACTGTGCATTTCCTGTATGCACAGTCAAGGATTTTCTTCAAAACTCAACAGAGGTAACAATATAGGGAATTATGTAGACTGAGGTATTAGTGGGGAAATGGAGAGGAAGGCACTTATCTGTGTGCGGAGAAATTTCTGATAATTAGTTTCTTTGATGATTTCCAGAAAATTGCTGTTGGGAGGATTTCTAACCAACAATTCTCTTGGGGGAAAGTAGCCCTTCGAGACTGATCACCATGTGGGAATAAATTCATAACTGGCACTATTCCTAACCCAACTTTGATCCCTTCCCTAAGAACATCCGATTCCCTCCTTTTCCTCCTCTTGCCATTTATACACATAATTAGAGCAGTAAAGAGTTTTGACTTAGGGATCTCACTGATATGGTTTGTGGATTAGCTTTCTTCATTCAACCTTTTTGATTTTAGCCCCATGTTATATTATACATTTTTTAGGGCCTAACATTTTGCTTTAGAAATGCTATAAATAATATGAAAAGACTTCACATAAGTTTCAAGAACACTAAAAGGTAAAGAGCTTTGAGTGATAATGTTAATTCATTCACAGATGCTTACCAAATACATTCTATATGCCAGGGAGTGCTTTAGTCTCCATAGATACGTCACTGAGGAAGAGAAATAGGATTTCTGTTCTCCTGAAATTTATATCCTCTTCATGGTGGGGAGAGACACATAAAAGACAAAACAAAACAACAAGTAAAAGCATAGGTCATGAATTTACATCAGATTCTAGTAAATGCTATAAAGGAAATAAACCCTAGTAACACGATAGGGTGAATGAGGGTGGGGTAGGGTGAGTGTAGGGGAAGCCTCACTAAGGATTCCTGATGGGAGGTCTGGGGGAAGATCATTCCAGGAAGGTCACCTGATAAGTACAGAGGGTCTAGGGAGAGTATAAGCATGACCTAAGCACACAGCCTGAGCACCTGCATGGGTGAAGTTTAATGAGTTGAGGATAGAAAGGACTCAGGGTCAGAATGTGCAGGGTCCTGAAAGCCATGGAAGGAAAATAGATTTTTATTTAAGTAGGAGCTTTGGGAAGGTTTTATGCAGGGCAAGAACATATTTTACATGAATCATTTATCCTAGTCTTTGGATAATGGAGTATTGGAGGCAGAAGTAGAAGTAGGAAATCCAGGTGGGCTTATTGGAATAGTTGAGTGAGGGATGGTGGTGGTAACTTGGGGTAGGATGGTGGGGAGGGAGTTAGAGAAGAGTCCTTGGGTGTGAGATGGATTCTGTAGGTGGAGCTGATGGGACTTCTGGTAAGTTAGACGTGGGGACAATGGAAAAAGAAAGTCAACTATAACTTCTTAGTTTTTTATTTTAAGTAGCTGGGTGGATGCTTGTGCCATTTATTAAGATGGAGAAGCCAGGTCTGTTTTAGGAGGAAAATGTTGTAAGGACAGAACTAGTGCTCGTTATATACTTTTCTTGAATAAAATTCTGTTTATTTAGAAAACTAATACTTAGCATATAAGCTGACAAACATTAGCTTTTGCTTTTCACTGGTGGAATGATGTTGATTTTATTAGCTAATCAAAATTAGGGCCATGATATAAAGATATTTCAACCATCAGGTTTGTAGCCCTTTGCATAGCCATGTATTCATAAAACAGAAAGAAAGATGGAGATCCTTTATAGGCCTGATAGCATTGTGCATTATCTTTTTCCATTTCCATTACTAACCTGGGGACCCAGAAACTATCAACTTACTTCTTATTCTCTGACATATCCTCACATTTGCCTTTTGCTTTTTTTTTTTTTTTTTTTTTTGTTACTGTTGTTGGTTTTATATATCCGATAGAATTCTAAGCTAGATCATTTCTGAAGCTAACGAGAGAAAACACATGCATATTACTACTGCTTGGTAGATTGTATTGTTTAATTGTAGATCATGGTATTTTTTTTTTGTGGTGAGGAAAGACTTTTTTCCTTCTGGAGCCTGTTCTAGTCATTTCTCAAGTGTTAGAAAAAAATCTCTCTCCTGAAATGTTTGCCATAAATCCTTAGAAATAGCAAAAACTTCATTATGTCACATCATATATAGTTGACCCTTGAACAATGTGGGGGTTAGGGGCACACCCCCCACACACAGTCAAAACTACACATACAACTTTTGACTTCCCCCAAATTTAACTACTCAGGGCCTACTGTTGATTGGAAGCCTTACTGATAACAAAACTAGTTGATTAACACATGTTTTGTATGTTATATGTATTACATACTGTATTCTTACAATAAAGTAAGCTAGGGAGAAGAAAATGTTATTAAAATCATAAAGAAGGAAAATACATTTACTGTACTATAAAAAAGTATATAAGTGAACCCACATAGTTCAAACCCGAGTTGTTCAAGAATCAGCTGTAACTTGCAGTTTTGGGCCACTGCCCTGCTCCTTGTGGACAAAGAATGCTAGTTCTTAGCCTATGGCTGACCACGGGCTCTGGCTCATTGCCTGTTAGTTGTAGATGGAGGTCATTTTGCAAGAATAGGTTCAGTATGTGGTCCCTCAAGATCCCTTTTCCTTTGAATGCTTTTATTTATATTAGATTTTTCTGAGTCATATTCATTAGCGACTGTTTTCCAGCAAACCACAGTTATCTCACATAGGTCTTCTAGGATTTCTTTAATCATCACTGTGTCAGATATCATGTTGCCTCTGCATCACAAAAAATAAAGCAAGTTTACTTGGCCCAAAGATTTTGGCAGGAGTAAATGATTATACTTGCTCCTTTAGAACTGATTTTAAATGTCTTCCTAGTAGAATATTTTTGGATCCCTGGCTTTTTTGGGTTTGGCAGGTTTTGCTAATTTTGCTAACTATGTAGTAATCCCATGCTTACCAGATGGGCAAGAGCTCCTTGCTATGTGTGTAAATGGATATAAGTTTGAATGAGTTATTAGTGAGGCTAGAATTAAAGAGAAGGAAGACATGAAAATTCAGGCTAAAAAGG